AAGAGAACCGCCATAATTGAGGGCTTATCTGTCGGGCTGCTCCATCTATTGGTGGGGAGCGGCACCTGCTGGAAAGCGGGTCCAGCGTCCCATTGATACATCTGGTAACAGAGGTTGCTGTTTGTTGTTTCCTAGGATTATGACCGTTTCTGACTCAGCCCGGGGCTCCGTTGTCCCATTAAGGTGCTAGTAGCACCCATCCCTTTTTTGGGAAGCACCCTGTGTCTTATTATCCGGGGTCTGTTCAGCTGCCCCTTGTTTGCCATTGCTATGACTGTCCTTTCAGACCCCTTAAACCCTATACCCTCTCTAGAGCCGTACATCCCATGCTTCACCCATGCAATATAGACCCGTTCCCTGACCGGGGCTCGCTCTTATCATCTACACTCCAATCGTCCTGCCCTGCCCACTCCCGGACGTTACCTGTTACTCTTGCACTCCCTGAAGTCTCTCCTTCGCCTACTAGACTCAGGCTACTTCCAGGTGTCTGCAGTCCACTTGTTTGTCATTGCTATGACTATCCCTGCAAACCCTTTAAACCCTTTAAGCCCTATACCCTCTGTACAGCCCTGCAACACACGTTCACTCATCTGTGAAGCCTGAGAATCTGCAGTGAAATGGAATGTGCTGCAATGTGATGCTGTGCAATATGGTCTCATTCCCTGCCCGGGGCTCTCACCAGACATCTTGCCCTTTTGCCCTGTACGCTCCCAGTAGGTGTCTGTTGTTCTTCTTTTTCCACCCTGAGGTCCCTCTTTCGCCTGGCAGATGCAGGCCTCTTCCAATTGTCCACAGTCCCCCATATCCCAAGCGGCTTCGTCAAAGTGAAGTCTGCCTACAGGAGCTGACCTCTTGACTTTGTTGAACACTCCACCCTTGCTTTGCGGGTGCCCCATTCTCTCCGTGTTGTGTTTATAGTGCCAGCTGGACCGCAGCTCACCCAGCCCCTGTAACCTAAGACTCCAGTAAGAAACAAAAAAAAAAAAGACTGCCGTAAATTAGGTCACCATCGAATGGACTCTTGGTGGAACAGACCATTTCGTGTTTGCAATCAGTCACTTGGCAAAACAGTCTCCGTGTCCATGGCCAGGCTCTGACCTTTTTTTTTTTTTTTCCGTCGCCAAAAACTCTCGCCCTCACCCCTCCTTGTCCCCCTCTTTACCTTCCCTCATGGTATGCTTAATACTGAGAAAGAGTTGGCGTGATAACTGTGACAACAGACCAATGCAGTGACTCTCTCTGTCCTTCTACCCAAATTATGGCAGCAGTCATCTTCGATGAGAATATTACCAAGAACCGTGAAGTTTCTCTCTCGGCAGTTTGATCTTTTTGCAAGTTATCCATGGTGCTGCTCCTCCTTGAGGGCAAGGGGGCTGAATGCGTTTGTCGCTGCAGCAGTTTAGTGTTTGCACGCACCTGTGACTGCACGCTCCAGAACGGTTCCTGTCGTGATTAAACCGCCAGTACTTGGCCCAGCTATCGATGCCGAGCCTGACAACAGGCTGCGAGCCCATTTCGCGCTGGCGGGCCACAGTACTTGGTCCAGCTATCGATGCCGAGCCTGACAACGGGCTGCGCGCCGTTTCGCGCCGGCCCGCCAGTGCAAAAAAAAAAAAAAAAACTGTCTTGGCTGGCGGCGCCAGCCTTTGAGGGCCGGTACCCCGAGCCTCCGGAAGTTGCGGGGCATTAATGACAACGCCCCGCGGCCGATTCAAGTACTGGTGGTTTAAGCTTTGCGCAACTCCCGCAGCAGCAGCTTTCGTCCATCTCACGGCCAATGCCCCAGCGGCCGCTATTCTTTGTGTGGTTCTGCAGGCCTGCACAACTCCCCCCTTAGCGGCTTTCACCAGTCCCACACAAGTTGCCACAGCGGCAGCAATTGTTTGTGTCAGTCAGCAGATTGGTCCTTGGCCTCTTCAACACCCTGGGCTTTTGAAAAAAAAAAAACAAGTGTCAGTCAGCAGATGTCTGTGCAGCTCCCGAGGCAGCAGCCAAAACCTGCCCCAACACACACGTTGCCACAGCTTCCGCAATTGTTTGCCGCACAGCAGGTCTCCGCAACTCCCAGGTATGGCCTGCATTTGCAAGAGTAAATTTGTGCATCGCCAAGGGGGGATATGCCCATCTTTTTTTTCCTCCTCTGAGAACAATGTTTGTTTGTTTGTTTGTTTGTTTGTTTTGTTTTAAACCACCAGTACTTGGCCCATACATCGGCCGCGGGCGTTTCCCGTTAACGCGCCGCGACTGATGGGCTTCGGCCTACCGGACCACGATGGCTGGAGGCGCCAGCCAAAAGAAAGTCGAAACGGGGCGGTGGCGGCTCGGCAAAACTTGGCGCGCAGGGCATATTCAGGCTCGGGATCAATAGCTGGGCCAAGTACTGGTGGTTTAAGCCACTAGTACCTTTGCCAGTGCAGAAATGAGGGAAAACACCAGCTCCCGAAGAATTCGGAGGCCGGGCCCGACAACGACTGCCATTGATAAATCTAATCAGCGGCTGTCATTTCGTTTCGGCCTCCTGAAAGGTCGGACATCCGCTATTTTCGGAACCGACAAAGGTACAAGTGGTTTAAGCCCAGGCTGTTGTAGAGGCCAGGTATCGCCCCAGGTGGGTACTGTCATAGGAGCGCTTCCCAGTAGGCAAACAAACCCAGTACTATTCCGGCCACCGAGTCGGAAGTTCCCGGGGGAGGTATGTCCCGAGTTGGTGGTATTCCACTTGCACCACTCCTGGAGAGCAGCACGTACTGGGAACAGGGCACAGTGCCCCATATGAAAAATTGTAGAGCAGATTTAAACCACCAGTACTTCCGGGTCACTTTCTTCCGGCGCTCCGAACGGCTTGCATGCCAGCTTCGTGGAACTGCCAGCGCGACATTTTCTTTCCTTTTCAGCTGGCACCGCCAGCCATTGTAGTCTGGTAGCCCCGAAGCCCGGTTTATGTGATGTGTTAACATCAAAGGCCTGCGGCGGATGTATGGGGCAAGTACTGGTGGTTTAAGATACCGGGGCCATTACCAGGGTTCGGCTAGGAATAACAAGAATACTCATTAGGAAACTACTGGACTACTCAAAGAAATTACAGGAAACATACCGAGTACCAAAATA